AGGTTCTCACACTGCTACCAACTCCTTAGAAACGTTTCATAGTAATTTCTAGAACACCTTTCCACCTCCAGCTCTCCAGTTTTGGTTGTCCATTCCCTCTTCCCTACCTGTACTCATGGTTCTTTCTGGGTCTTGGCCCACACTCACTTATATGTAGAAGAAACCTTTTTCCTCTACTACAAAGTTCTCTCCCTTTAGTGTTACCATTAACAAAAGGTCTGCTTTCATCTAAGGCTCATTCTTTGACTTGGTTACTCAGTCCCTGTGTTACCTTTTTGTTACTGTGTCAAAATACCAGTGACAATCAGCTTAATAAAGGAGTAAAGGCTCCGTTTCAAGATTTCAGTTCATGGTTGGTGGGCCTGGTGAGGCAGTATATCATCAAAGCTGCTCACCTCATGGTGGCCTATAAGAAAGAGAAGGAACTGGATGTGGCTTGTGTTCCAATATCCCCTTTTAGTGCATGCCCCTGTGACCTAACTTCCTTTTATTGAGCCCTGCCTCTTACATGTTCCACTTTCTCCCTATAGTGACTCAAACTATGGGCTTCAGCAATGGGACTTTGGGGGACATTTAGGATCCAGACTATAGGAGTCTTAGTCCCTCACCTGTATGGTAGCACTTTGCTCCAGTAGCTCTTTCCTCCTTCTCTGTCCTGCATAATCAGTGATTGGATCTTTTTCACCAACATTCAACATGGTATGTCTCTCCTTTTAAGAAAACCCTCTGTGGATCTCCCATCCCTTCCAGCTATGTCTTTGTTTTCCTGTACTTCTGTGGAACAAACGTTCCTTTTTTTTTTTTGACAGTACTGGGATTTGAATTCAGGGCCTTGCACTTGCTAGATAAGCACTCTACCAATTGAGCCATACCTCCAGCTATTTTAGCTTTTGTTTATTTCTCAAGTAGAGAATTGCTTTTGCCTACAACCATGATCCTTCTACTTCCACCTTCTCCTCCTGTGTAGCTGGGACTACAGGCATGTGCACCACACCCAGATTGTTTTTTTGAGATAGGGTTTTGCTAATGGTTTTTGCCCAGGCTGGCTTGGAACTATGATCCTCCCGCCTCCATCTCTGGCATAGCTAGGATTACAATCATGTGCCACCATGTCTGACCCATGAAACAAACTTCTTGAAGAAATGATTATAATCACCAATTGTTTTACTTCCATTCTCATTATATCCACTATACTCACACCTTTATCTCCCCATCACTCACCTGAGTCTATTCTTCTGAAGGCTAGAAATGATCTCTATGGCGATAAATCTGATGGTCCTCACTTACCTGACCAGTTGGCAATTTTTTTGCAGTTAATTACTTTCTCTTTGAAATATTCTCTTATCTTCTAGTATACCACTCTCTTCTAGTTTTCCTGCCAACTCACACATAGACTACTGCTTTTCAGTTTCCTCTGCTTACTGGTTCCTCCTTTATTTTCTAAGTTCTTGAAGTAGAAATATCCAAGGCCCCAATCCTTAGATCTTTCATTTATACTCACTTCCATGGTGATCTTATCTGGTATCATGGTTTTATATACATCTATCTGTCTGTCTATCTATCTATTTATCTATCACCTATCATATTCAGGTAGGACTCTCCCTGAGAACCATCACATTTCTATGTTGGGATATGCTCTCAGGATGAAACATAGATTAGTTATGATGCTACCACCTAATAGTAGTAGAGGGTGTGAGAAGTTGTCATAGTCTGAATGTAGTTTTGAAGGTAGAGACAATAGGATTTATTGACGGATTGGAGATGCCCTATTAGGGGAAAAAGTCATAGGATGGCACTGTTGTTTATTATCTGAACAACTGGAAAAATGGAGCTGCCGTTAACTGATGTGAGATATACTATGATTGGAGCAGATTTGGTGTGAGTGGATGGGCAAGGGTTCAGGGAGTTCATTTTTGTAGTTTCAATTGGGTATGTTGATTAGACAATTTGGGCCTGTGAGAGTGTCTACTGCATGAGATAAGGAACTCTGTTGTGCTAAGCCCTGAGATTTGTTCATTGTGGTGTTTATTATAATACCTGCCACATTAGTTAAGTTCTCAAATATTTAATTGTTGAATGCAAGAATGCTTCTGAAGGCAATTTTAGTTGTGAACTTTCTGGAATTATTCTCATCAGCTGAGTACTTCTTTTTTATGGCATGATGCCACACCTCAGAGCACTCATCAAACTGATTCAATTATTTGTCATACTGTAGCTCAGACTTTGGATTCAACTAATATTAATGTATTATACACTGGCCACAATCCTAGGCCCTGAGGTTATGAGGTACCATTTTAACCACTCAGACAACCTAAGGATGAGAAAGTGATTGAGGAGAGTCAATAAAAATAGAAGAGAAGGGGTCAAGTTGGGAGTTATCAAGAATAGAATCCAATGAGTGTCTTATATATGGACTGAGCAAAAAAGTGAACGGATAGTGATATTTCTGACTTTGTAGGGAAGAGGGTATTTGGAAATTTTGAATTAATTAGTATCATCTTTGGAGTAAGATATGGTTTTCTCCCAACTGTTGACTGTAAAGTTTGGCGCTCAAAGGAAAGATTGGGACAGAGAAATGGCTTTGGGAATCACTAGTATATCAACAGCAGTTGAAGTTGTGGGTATGTATATGAAGTTGTACCTTGCCCTCCATGAAGAAACTGGGGCTTAGAAATGTTAAGTAACTTGTCAACTGTCAGAGTCAAGATTCTAACCCTGATGATTATTTTCCACATTCCATTCTTGTGACTTCGACCTTAAAATCTATGTCCTCTCCATGGGGTCAGACATTTGGCCTGGAAATTATAAAAACACTCAAGGGTTTTGTAATGTTTTCCTTGTACTATAATTTTTTTCTGTTTATGTTTGTCATCTTTCCCTAAAATCATTCTCTGGCCACTTGTCATAAGTTTCCTTCCAAAGGGAAGGGGAAAACCCAAATCTTTTACTTTATGACACAAGCATAGACTTGAGCTATGCTGTTCTGCAATGGCTTCCTTAAAAAGTTAGGGATTCCAATCTTCCAACCCACATAACTGGAGGAGAAAAGGTAAGGTTTGCTCTCCTCAGAGGCTTAAGGGAGTATGAGTGTGATGGCCGCTGTGAAGAAGTCTGTGTGTCCAGGGTTACCAAGGCTGCCCTTTGTGGTAGAGCTCTCTCAGTGAATAGGGTGAAAGTGGGGATGGGAGTGCAGGATGGATAGAACAGGTATCAGGAAAGAGCCCTAGTAATGTGTCAGTTTAGCAAGCTGTTTGAGAACCCTACTGAAGCAGGTTTGTAGGAGAGACTTCATTTAGTCTATGAAAAATTTGGATGGTACATAGTTTGGAGAAGCTTACATTTCTTAGCAGCTGCTTATAGATCTCAGCTTGCCTTTCAGCCTCCTTCTTGGATGTCTCCAGTACAAGGATTTCAGAGAACTGCACATAATATATTCTTTAATGATACATATTTCCTTGAAATAAGATATTGAGCATTCCCAGAAAAAGAAGCAAAGAAGTTTGATCTGGTCATAGAGATTCACGTGTGGCATTAAATTCTAGATTTTTAATCATCTTTTATGACTGATGAATAGATGGGACACTTTCTGTAAGATCTTTTGACAAGGCAAAGAAAATAGTGCTTTCTGAAATGCCATGCATCATATGAAGAGATAGATGAATGAATACATAGAAGGAAGGATGACAGGAATCAAAGGCTACAGCTGTCAGGTTTACGTGGTACAGTCTTGGTGGGAGAAAGTACAGGAGTCATCCTTTGAGGAGAAGTTACCATGCATACCCTGGGAGGGGACTTAGCTGAGTTCAGCACTATTACTTACCATGAAAGTATTCTCAGGAAGTAAGTGGGTGGAAAAGGGGGCAGTCAATGTACAAGGATCCCAAGTATAGGTGGTATAAAAATCAGACATAGCAGGAGGGCTGGGTACCAACTGCTGACAATAATTGACAGGCTCAGATATGTTTAGAAAACTTCTGGTACTGTGGTTCTTCCCCAATGTTGATTCACTCCATCCTCCAAACACTTAAGCCTTAGATTTGTCTCTTGGTTTTAGTGCTAAGCAAACTGGACTTTTTTTTTTTTTTTTGGGGGGGGAACTGGGGTTTGAACTCAGGGCATCACACTCATAAAGTGGGTGCTCTATCTCTTGACCCACATCTCTGGTCCATTTTGCTCTGGTTATTTTGGAAATAGGATGTCAGGAACTCTGCCCAGGCTGGCCTCAAATCACCATCCTCCTGATCTCAGCCATCCAAATAGCTACAATCACAGATGCAAGCCTCTGGTGCCCAGCTGCAAACTGACTTTTGCCTTCTGTTATGCCCTGGTCAGGATGATGTCAGCTTTTTTTCAAGCACACAAACATCCAACTATATGCTTTCTCTCCCTACCTCTCCCCTGGTAGGTAGAAAGACAACCAGATGGATTCTCTAGAAAGATATATTCCTAATACCAACAGTGAGCAGATAGGGGAGGTGCTCTCATTAAGTTTTCATTTGACATATGTCATGTGTGTTTGGATAAACTCAAAAGCCCCCATCAAGAAAAGTTACACTGTGGTACTTCTATAAAATGACTCGAACTGGAGAAGTGGCTCAAATGGTAGAGTGCCTGCCTAGCAAGCATGAGGCTGTGAGTTCAAACCCCAGTACCACCAAAAAAAAAAAAAAAAAAAAACCAAAAAGCTGGTAGAGTGGCTCAAGTGCACCTGCCTAGGAGTGTGAGGCCCTAAGTTCAAACCCCAGTACCACCAACAAACACTCTATAAAATGACCCATCTGAAATGTGAGTTAGAGCTCCAACCCTAGATGGGGTAGACTTACTGGCTTCCTTCATTCCTTCCCTTAACAAAGTACAGCAGATGCAAGGAGCAGACAGACAACTCTTTAGAGGTCTAGAGTATATTTCTGGTGGCGCTCTGCCCCACCTGTTTGTTACTGGAAATGACAATAGCAGTGCTCTTCAAGGGATGCAGAGCCTGGGGGGCCCAGAAACTCTTTTCATTGCCCTGAGTGTAATCCTTGAGCAGGATGATGTTTCGGAGGTGAGGGTTGGGAGATAGGCTGAGTTCCCTGGTTGGGTGGCAAAGCCATTCGAGGACAGTGCCGAGGGCAGTGGCTGGGGTGGACCTGAACTGGGGCAGATCCTTGTCGGGAGCGTAGCCCGAACTTATTGTCTGGGGAATGAGAACCAGCTGGCTTCTCACTGGGGGCAGACCGGACCTTGGGGTGCCCTATTGGCTTCTCTGGCTTAGTTCTCTTCATGGGGCTTTTGACTGGAGCCACACTCTTTTCAGCAGTTTCTTTTCTGGGTTTGGCCTCTTTGCCAGCTGTAGAGGGCATGGATTCCACTTGCCCTTTGCCTTTCATCTCGGGGTTAATGCGGCTCAAAAAGGATTTCATCTTATTTCTCAGGCCAGACTCTGGAAGACTGGGTCTCTTGGGAGCAAGGGCTGGCATCACCTGCCCCTGCAAAACTTGACCTTGCAAAGTTTGTCCCTGCAAAGGCTTACCCTGAATTGGTTGGCGCAGGACAGGCTGGCCATGGGAAGCCCAGCGTACCACAGACTGAGTATGCTTGGGACTCCTTTCAGATGAGAGGATGCCTTTTAGCTTAGTTTGACTGTCTTGCCTGTCACGATCAGTTTCTTTTCTCCTGGGGACTCCTGCAGGTGGCTCTGGAAGCTGAGGCTGACGACCATGCTGGGAACTGTGTTGACAGGAATCTGTAGGATGAAATCTATGTCTCCATCGCCAGGAGTCTTGGGGTGTCTTACTCAGAAACATAACTTCTGGCCTCTGATCTTCAGCATGCTGTCTATTTTCACTGGTTGAGGACAGCCCAAGGCCTGCATCCCCTCCTCCGAGATCCCCTGCTGCCTTGGGTTTCCCTGGGTCCTCTCTCTTTTCTGTCAGTATGGGGCCATGGGTTGTGACTTTGTTCTTGCCAGGGCTTTTGGGCTCAGGGCCCCAGGGTTCCTCCAGGCTGGAGTTTTTCATACTGGCCTGGATCTGAACACAAAGCACCTGGGTCTCACTCATGTCCCCACTGGGTGGTGAGATTTTGGAGGCCCAGTGGTCATCAAGGGGCACTGTTTTAGAACTTGGTTGTTTTTGGTTGTGCTGCACTGCCTTCAACTCAATGGCCAGCTTTTCTTTAGGGTTGAGCCACTCAGAATCTGGGGCAGGAGGAGGGTCTGGTGGGATGGGCAGTTCCTGGAGCACTGTTCTTCCTTGGTTGTTTAGATTCTCAAGAGTCTGTGTGGACTTGTTCTCTGCGGCTGCTGCAGTTGGGTCCTGGGACTCCTTTGCCCATTCTGGAATCCCCAATTGTATCTCTAGGACTTTTTTTCTCAGGTGGAAATTTAATTTAGCCATGATATATGTCTTGAGTGAGTAGGGGCTGCCAGGACATGTCTGGCTTTCTGGAGGCGCCATCTCAGTCATTTCTTCCACTTGCACTTCATGCTGGAACTTTTCTGTAGTGTCTTCACAAGTCTCATTGTCATCTTGAGAGCATGGCTCAAGCCTCTTACAGGGGTCTTCAAGTGAACTCATCTGGGTCAGAGTCTGCTGTGGGATTTCAATAGACTCAGGCACCTTATCTGTCATTACAGATTGGCTAGTGGTGGCTGGGGACATGGCCCTAGAGAGAGCCACACAGTAGAGTGCAGGCAGGCCTGACAGGAAGACCAAATACTTGTGCTGTAAAGTTGTCTCCAGTTTCTCAATGATTTCCTTAGACAGGGCTTGGGGCAGCTTATGGTGTTCAATGACATCACCTGCTGAGGCCAGGTGCTGCTGCTCAAGGGCCATGGGCACACAGGGCAAAACTTTGTGATGTGGGCCAGGGTCATTTGCTGCTTGTAGCTCCAGATGCTGGCCTTGTGGAATGCAGGAGGGGGGAGCCACTGCCAGGCCCCCAGGAATTCTCCATTCCCAGGAGCTATATACACGGTCAGGGATCTTACCCTGGAGGATCTGTTCACATTTGGTGTCAATGTGGCTCTGTAACATTGCCTGGACCTGGACAAACAAGTGTGGCATGGGAATCGACACTTGGGTCACCATAGGTGAGGAGAGGTAACCATCCCCATTGGCCTCCAGGGCCCCAGGCTCAGCAATGCTCATGCTCGGTAGAGCTGTGCTGCTCCAGGACAGGGGCTGCTGGTCAGGGGAGGAAAGGAGCAACTGGAAGGACTGTTGAATCTTCTGGGGCAGGCCCCAACGAAGATGAATCAAGTGCTTCTGGAGGTGGAATTCCAGCAGCCTGCGGGCATGCTCCAGGAAGAAGAAGAGCTCTCTGGTGAGGACTGAGAAGGGCTTCCCTGGCCAGGAAGTTTTGTCAGTCTTGGGAGACTGGGCTTTGTTACCAGGGTCACAGTGAATGGGGATCTGGGCATGCCGAGATCTCTGGAAGATGGCTGGTAGGCCCCATTGAAGCTGGAGCTGCCTCTGCAGCAGGTGCCATTCCAAGGCTTCACACTCAGCCAGAGTCAGAAGTGGGACAGTGATCTGAGCTCCTTGATGCTCAGATGGAGTCTCCCCACTTGGGAAAGATGGAGAATTTGGTGGGACTGAGTCATTGCACGGCTGTCTCAGCAAGGGGAGGAAGGCGAGCTCTTTGCAGAGACCGTCCTTCAAGGGGGGCTTAGACGTGTTCTCGGAGGGGCCTTGAGAGCCCAAGAGAGTGGCCACCAGGGACTCACTGTGCAGAGAAGGAAGGCCACAGAATAGCTGTTGGTATTCCTGCTGCAGATTGCTCCCTGGGTCATTAGCTTGTTCTCCAGGCAGTGGACAAAGACTATTTAGGATTTTAAGAGCAGGAGAGTTCAAGTGAATGGCCATTGTGTTTGGGATTTGTTGGCAATGATGTCTTTGTTCTGGGTCCGTAATAGACCACTCAGAAACCCAAAACGTCTGCGTGGGTTGGCCAGCCATGTATGAACACCAGGCCTGGTGGGGAATAGTCCCTAATGTATGAACGCAGACATGAGAAGTATTATTCAGAATAAAAGAAACTGGTTGGTTATTTTCAGGCTGACAGTACATTGGTGGATATGGCATAAATTCTCTTAGGGAATCTTCTACGCGTCTGGGGAGTCCCCACCTCTGGAAATGCGTCCATTTTTTAACATGTAGCTCTAAATGCCTGTGGACTTCTGGACTAAGAAATGGCAGGTGGGCAGTGGGGACCATATGCAAGGCTATAGGTTGTACAAAGTTAGTGTTCTCAGGATTCTGGGACAGAAAAGAGACCTGAGAATTTAAGGACAGATGGTTCTGGTTCCTCTGGACAGAGTTGAGGTTGTTCTGCATCATCTCCTGCTCATTCACTAGAACCATAGTCTCCTCAAGCCTTGAAGAAGTCATAGTCACTGGGTCCATGGGCGTGTCTGGAAGTTGAAATTCCTGCCCTGTCTGGAGGTGATCAGTCCAGTATTCCTGGATGCTGACTGCATTGGGTGAATGGTCTAAGTGCTCTGTTACTTGTGTCTGGGTTGGGATTATAGATGCCAGTGAAATATCTCTGTAGCATCTAGAACGAAGCTCCAGATTCTGCTCTAAAGACACACTTGACAACATCTCTAGGCAAGAAGAGCCCTGCGATGGCTCCAATAAAGTGGAGGAAACTTGGTTGCTCTCACCACTGTCCAGCAGCTGCTGAATCTCCAGAGCCATGGCACTGCAGATTTGGCAGCAGGGATCTGCACACAGGAGCTGCCGCACTCTTTCCTCCTGAGGAAGCCAGGCCTGGCTGGGAAGGGAAAATGGCAACTGTTAACAATGGAGGGACATCTGCTTCCTTGGAAGAGTGTGACTGGAGATTTGTACTTTGCCACCCTCCCCCCCATTCCTACAAGATTTAGGCCTAACACTGGAAAATGCGGTCCTTGTGGGAATTCTTCATTCTGAGAAGTGTAGGGTATCCCTGCTTCTGTACACATTATCTGTTAGGAGTCAGTCCCATTCTCTAGAAATCTTAAGGAGAGGACTAGATAATACACTGAGGCTGCCCCAGAACATGGCCTCCCTGGACAGACCAGAGGTAATGTCAGCAGGGTCAGCTAGACCCTGCGGGTGTAGCTGTAAAGAGAATGTGACAGTGATGACTTCTTTATGAAAAATTCATTCTCTTGACTGAATAACTTGTCCCATAGCTGAGTTCCACCCATGTTGTGACCCTTATGAATTATGCACTACTCAACTCCTGAATTGTAGAGCTACTGGGACCTTAGCACAAAGAATTGGGTGACTGACTCTTCTCTGAGACACCGGAACTGCACTCTGTCCTGTTAACCTTCTCAGCCAGTCAATCATCCTCCACTGTGTTACCTCCCTCCCAGCCATGATCCCCTTCTCCTCATCCCTGTTCCATACCAGGCCAAAAAATCATCACAGGCCAGGCTGGGAGTTGGGAGATTGTAAAGAGCAGGAGGTCACCTTTTCATGACAGAGAGCAGCTTCCATGGCTTCTCAGCTTCTTCCTGGAAAAGTCTCCTAGCTGTAGAATAGGACATAGTGTTAGGTTCCATAGGAGTGTTTCAGGGACATTGTACAGGAAGACTTTGACTCAGTAAGAGGAGACTAAAAACCCAGAATCAGTGTTCTAATGCATGCTGGGTCCAACATCACAATCTATAAATGCTGTCCCTTATCCACTTTCATTTGATCCTAATAATCACAAAGTCTATTTAAGACTAGAGATCAATTCTCCAGCATAAAAAGACTAGTAAATGACACAGTTAAGGACATCTATCTTATTTCCTCAGTTCTTTATTCTTAGGGTAGTAAGGTAGGACACTCCCACATTCTGGTTCCCCATCCAGGGTCATAAAGGGATAGGAACCATGGGATGCTCTTCCACAGTGGTAGGGTCATAAAGGGATAGGAACCATGGGATGCTCTTCCACAGTGGTAGGGAATCAGGGAAGAGACTGGGGTTTTACCTCTTGATGCTGCATCTCTGGCCCTTTGCCTGACTTTTCGGTGACGCTTAAAGAGAAAAATATTAGAATGTAAAACTGGGACACCATTTTCTTTTTCATGTCCAAAAATGAGATAAAGGTTATATTTATTGCTCTTTCCATTTCTGTGTATCCGTCCATATTTTATACACTCTCCTGTATTCTCTTTACCTATTCTCCATCCCTTTTCACCCCAACATTTCCCTTCTATGTATATTTATGATTCACTTTTAAGCTTTTTCAAACTCTTCATCTGCCATCCAATTACCAGTTGAAGATTTGCTAGAGACAGGATAAAATAAGAGAACACATTATACAATGTGTGATTCTAATATTCAAAGGACTTTAGCTTGTAAATGCCTTAATAAACTATAAACCAGAAAATTCCCCCAAATGGGAGATCTTCTGAGATACAGTGATGCAGATCCCTTATTTAGGTCTCTACTCAAGCCAAACAAAGAGATTCTTGGCTTATGCTAAAGGGCAGTACTGGTGAGAAATTACTTCTAGCCTTTGAGAAGGAAAGGACTATATAAAAGTACCTGAAGCTATCATATTAAAATTGGCAGAGAGGGGTAATGAGGTCATAAGGGCGGGGGTTTTGGGGTGGACTCTGGAACTTAAAAGCTGTTTATGTAAGGCTTAAAGTAGCTCAGTTGTGGTTACAGCGTTTTCCTACCCAACAGCAGCTCCTTTTAGGTTCCAAGCTCAATCCATAGTAACTCCTTTTCACTTGCCAGATAATAAGGACAATGATGAAGATGAAGACATAGAAATATAAGGAATATTCAGCATCCCACAGAACACATGAAGCACTCAACATGGTCTAAACCTCATTAGCATGAGGAGACCAGCCATCCCTATATGTAGGCCTTCAGGGTCCTGGAGCCTAATAACATCCAGCCCTGGGCCTTGTCATGTCTACCTCACAGAGGACAGAACCAGGCCACCAGACAGCATCACAAAGCCCTTCTGTCTCATAAGGGATGCTCATGTGGCGATTCAGTCTGCAGATGAAGGTGTGTGGTCACTTGTCAAGGTCACATAGCCTGGGCCTAAAGGTGCCATGCTCACAAGCTATGTTTGTTTCCCACTTTCTCTTAACCGCGCCCCCCACCCCCCGCCCCCCAGGCCATTGACTGTGCTTTCTCCTTCACAACAACTATCTGGTCACCTGTCCTCAGAAACCTAAGGGCTTTGGCACACAGAGTACCTTGTGAGAAAGTGTGGCTGGGACAGAGGAACCTTCACCAACTCTCCTCCCTGTCCTGGAAGTGCACCTGAGAAGCACACGGGAGTTTAGGAGGCAGAGCGTGGTTATGGCTTAGAAATGGGGAGCTTTGGTGTTTCAGGCAACATGTGACCATAAATCAGAAGTGCAAGAAGGTGTGATGATGGCCCACGCAGCAGGGGAAAGCCAAGGTGGCAGTACCTTTAAATTGTGGGAGGAAGGAAGAGAAGCCCCCCAGTCTTGGTGGGTGGGAAGAGATCATAAACACTGCTTTCCATGGTAAGTCATATTAATGTAAAACTGTCCCAAGGCATGAGTTGTCACAACTGTTTCTTCCCATGTTCTTAGCATGCTTTCCTTTCAGGGTGAGTAATGCCTGCAGAGAGGGTCTAGTGGTTATAACAAAGTCTAGGTCATAAAATACTTGCTGTTGTGATAGGATATCCTCATTTCTGGATGTCTGCCATTAGGATTATTATTTGTTTGACATGGATTTTTGTAAATTTATAAAATAGGAAAAGTGTTTTCCAAGTCATCTCCAGGACTCATCACTCTTCTATTCCATCCATTAATTTATATATTTATGTTACCTGCTTGACCTGCCTTGTCCATTCCATCTAAGTTCTCTAAAGTAAACACATATTTGCTCATAATATTTTCATTTTTATAATTTCTGTAGTACTTATAGTCATGTCCCCTCTTTCAGTTTCCATATTGTTAAAGTTCTCTTTTTTGTCTTGGTCAATATGACTGAGGTTCTATTAATTTTATGAACTGTTTCAAAGAACCAGCTTTTTCAGTGATTTTATTTTTCTGCTTTTAATTTTTTTTGTGTGTTTTGCTATTTATTATCTCCTTTCATTTACTTGCTTTGGGTTGAGTGTATTCTTTTTCTAGTTTCTTAAAGTAGATGAATATATTATTATTTTGAAATTTTTTCTTTTCTATGTAGACATTTAGTGCTATAAATTTCTTATCAAGAAATGCTTTAGCTGCTTCCCACACATTTTGATATGTTGTATTTTCATTTAGTTCAAAATATATTCACATTTCCCTGGAGAATTCTTTGATGCATGAGCTCTATTTAGTAATATATATTTAATTTCCAAATTAAAACCCAAAGTTTGGAATTTTCCAGGTAAAAAAGTTCAGTATAGCCATAATTTGTATAATTTCAATCTCTTTCTTTCTGTCTTCTTTTCCTCTTCTTCCCCTTTCTCCCCCACTCTTCCCTCCTTCTCCTTTTCCTTCTCCTTTTTCTCTTCTCCTCCTCTTTCTTTTGGTAGTACTGTGGATTGAACTCAGCCTTTATACTTGCTAGGTAAGCACTCTACCACTTGAGCATGCCCACAGCTCTTTTTGTTTTAGTTTGCTTTTGATAGGGTCTCAAATGTTGCCCAGGCAGGCTTTGGGTTATGATTCTCCTACCTCTACCTTCCAAGTAGCTAGGATTATAGGTGTGTACTACCATGCCTGGCTTGTTTTTTGAGATAGAGACTTGCTAACCTTTGTCCAGGCTGGCTTCAAACCATGATCCACCTATCTCTGCCTCCCGAGCAGCTGAGTGCCACTGTTTGCCACTGTGCCTGGCTCAATTTGTTTTAATTTCTTCTTTTTTTTTTGTCTTAGTTTTTTGCTGAGAATTTGGTCTATCTTTCAAATACTCCATGTGCAGGTGATAAAAATGTATATTGTGCCTGAACTGGCTGGCCTCATACTTGTGTTCTTCCTACCTCTGCCTTCTAGGTAGTTGGCCACAGTCTAGCTTTTGAAGACTGCATCCCCAACTGATGTCCAGACTATAACATCATATGACACCCCAAGTTAGAGTTATCCATCTAATCTTCTTCCATATTCCTGACCTCAGAAATTGTGAAATAATTAATGTCTGTTGTTTCAAATCACTACTCCAGTCCCCATAACAGGACATTTAAGCATGGCTCCCATGTTCTCTCAGCACAGTAGGTGAAGGGAGCAAGGAGACTCCCCATTCAGTTTTCAGTGAATAACCATATCACTTTCTGTGAGTGCAGAACCTTTCTGTGGGTTAACTTGTCCTGTAAGTGAAACTTCTGTCTCTATAGAAGAGACAGAAGTGGAGGAGGAGATCTAAGAGACCATGTTCATATATTAACCAGTTCTCATGTTTTCACCCCTCACAAATCCCCATCTCCAAACAAATCTACTGTTTCCAGTTCCTGAGCCTTTTCAAAGTTTCTTTCACTCTGTTCCGCTGACTTTACTTCATTGTCATCTATGGTTCATCTTTATATGGTCTGTAAAATCTGTTATCATACCTTTAGTCCATCTGTTTTCCACTCTAAAATTTCATCGATACCTCTCATTTAGTATCCTCTTCCTTCATCTGCTATTTATCATCCTCATATTTTCTTCGTGTATGTGGACTTAGTCCTTTATAAAGCCCTTTTACCTTCTCACAAAGAGAAGTCCAGAACCACTGGCGAGTTCTGCCAAATGTATAAAGAAGAATTAACAACAATCATTCACAAATGTTTCAAAAAATTGAAGAGGAAGGAATACTTCACAATTCACTCTTGCATGCCACTATACCAAAACCAGATAAAGACATCACATGAAAATTATAGGCCAACATCCCTTATAAATAGAGATGCAAAACTCCCCAACAAAATTCTAGCATATCGAATCCAGCAGCTTATAAAAAGGATTGAATACCATGACTAAGTGAGATTTACCCCAGGAGGTTGTAACAACCAGGAAAAAAATGTTAGTTCATTTTTCATAAAATTTGCCATATTAACAAAACAAAGGGATAATTACATAACATCTCAATGGAAACAGAAAGAAGCATTTGACAAATTCTAACATTCTTTTTTGATTAAAAAACACTCTCAACAAATGGAGAGTAGGAGAGAACTTCCTCAAACTGAAAAAGGGGCCTCTTTGAAAAGCCCACAGTAAATGTTACATCTGTTGATGAAAGACTGAGACCTTCTCTCCAAAGATCAGAAGTAAGACATATTTACTCTTACCACTTTAATTCAACATTGCATTGGTGGATCTAGCCAGGACAATTAGGAAAGTAAAAGAAACAAAAGGTTTCCAGATGGAAAGGAATACATAAAACTATCACTCTTTGCAGATGACATTATCTCTTATATAGAAAGTCCTAAGGAATTCTCAAACTATTAGAGTTGAAAAGGAGTTCATAAAGGTTGTAATATATTAAATCAGCTGAATGTAATATATTAAATCAGAAGAAATTAAAGAAAACCTAAATAAGTGAAATATATTTGTGTTCATGGATTGGGAGATGTACTGTTGTTAACATGACAATACTCTCCAAATTCATCCAGATTCAATTCAATTGCTAGTTTAAAAAAATCGCAACTACTCTTTTTGCAGAAATTGAGCCTTCCAAATTGCAGAAGTTCAAATACAATTTTGAAAAATGGCTTGGAGAAGTACATGTACCCTTCAAAATTCCCCGCAACTAATACTAAATTGTCACAGGGAGATTTTCCTTCCTGTTAGTACCACTAATGCTTAAACAACTATAGTGGCATACCTGTTCATGCCTCATTGATTCTAACAGATCTTGCCAAGGGTGCTGGGTTTAAAAAAAAAGTTAAGATATATAATATATGACTGATTATATTCTATCACAAATGTAGCCAAAAACCCCTATTGCCTTTGCAGGACAAATACAGGCTGGAATATTCAGAGGCCCTCCAATTTCCACTTTCAGCCAAGATAGAGTAACAAAGACTGGATTTGCTGTTCTGCCTGAAACTACTGACAAAAACCAGACAAATATGTGAACCAATGTTTTTCAAAACACAGGACATCAGTCAACAAAATTCGTCCGTGGGAGACGGAGGAAAAACAAGATGAGCCCTCCAATCTCCCTAATTTAGTGTTCTAAGAGAAATTCCAGGACATGGTACAGGAAAATGCAAACCATTAGGAGCCTAACAGAATCCCTGAATTGAGGAAACAGAGCTGAGATTCTGGATAGACCATGTGGTTAGTATTCATAGGAGAGAGCACAGGAGAGTATACGCTGCATAAAAAGAACTCTAAGGATCTGTAGAGGTTCCCCTCAAATATTTAGCTGTGCATGGATATGAGAAAACAACCCAAGATCAGGGGAAGTACCCCCAAAAGAGGGAACAGCAACCAGAACTCAGACCAGAAGTAGTTCTTACCAACCTGACTTGAAATCCCACATTTCACAGGGCATTGAGAATATTCAGAAGAATCTAGACTTGGTGAGAATAATTAACCAGAAACTAAACACTGCTCTTATCTGACATAACCTTAGAAACAAGACCTGAAAAGACCAAACTATTTCCAAGTAACTTAACTACTTTCCAGAATAAACTCGAGAACATGCAATAAGAACACAAAAGTCTATAGTACTCAAAAAAGTCTCATTCACAATGTCTTACATTTAATAAAAAATTATGAAAGGAAGCAGAAAAATAAAGATCAATTGTAATTGTCCCAGAACTGGCATGAAAGTTAGAGTTAGCAAAGGACATTAAACAGCCTTCATATCTCTATTTCATATATTCAAAAGTTAAATAGACATGGAAGTTATGTTTTAAAAA